TTGCAGTTACTTATTTATATGGGCAATTTGTTATTAATGTCTGCTTCTCTCACTAAGCTCCATAAGACGACGATTGCTTTACTACTGTATCCTCAGCCCCTAGCTCATGAAAATATTTGTTGAATGAATGAATTAGTAAATATATTTCATTATTTAACAACAAAATTGGCCTTACGTAAAAGATTATCACTTAGTTTGGTTATGCCTATCATCAGGCCAATTGAAGAAATAAAAAAAAAAAAAATAGGCAAAGAATTTCTACTAGTTTGCTTTAGGCATTTTTTAATAAATATCAAATTTAATATGTTTATTTTCCTGGCTATCAAAAATAGGGCACTTCTTCAAACTGATTATAATTTCATATGTAGAAACCACACAGCCTTATCATCCATAATCATTTCAGGCATTTGAATCTATTAAAGGAGAATATGACTGAAGACTGTCAAGAGCACTGAAGTGTCCTCTGGGCAGTGTGAACATCTGGTGTCTGTTCTCTTTGGAGATTAACAACAGAGCTATACTGCAGCAGGCTTTGCTAATTCCTTTGAGCCCTGCACAGCATTTTTAAATGGTTCCAAACACACAAGATCTCTAATTGGTATGGATTTCCTCCACAGTTTTCTTGAGATCTCAAAATATGTCAGAAACTCCCAGGCAGGAATTGACAGGGGCAAGCTTCCCTGTTTCCCTTTGTGGAGGTGGCTATTAATAATTTTTTTCAGGTTCAATAAAATTACTGAACTCAAACCATTTCAACTGAAAAACCAGGGAGGAAGACTTTATTTTCCCTGGCCTGAACACTGTCTCTTGCTACTTTAAATCACAGTTAATGTTTTTAAAAATATATCTTACACATAAGTCAGTTGTAGACTTTTAGCATCAAAGGATCTGAGCAATATCACATGTAACGGCCTGACCTTTAGCCATAATTTCTAAGTGCCATTAAAAAATGTCTCTCAAACTGGTCTTAAATTTAGTGTTGACCTAGTCACCTTGATCCAAAAACATTCAACTTTAGATGATTATTTTATTTTGTTTCCAAAAGCTCTTCAGTCCAATGAGGTATCCATTAGAGAAGCTTCACAAAGAGTTTAGAGTTTGCTTAGAATTTATTAGCTACATCAGACAGGAAGATGGTGATTTGGGTTGCTTGCTGAGTGAAGATTATTTACTGTGCTTAACTGACCTTAAGAATACCAGGAGGGATATAGGATGGGGAAAATTCGAAGAAATACAGATTCTATTCTCCGCGATATGCAATCCAGACTGAAAGTGAAATGTTCCATTCAGCTGCAGTCCTGAATTAGGTCTATTCACTACATAGCATCATTTGGGAATGTCAAATTATTACTTAGATTCTTTATTTAGTTGGGTACCTATCAAAAATTTCAGAATAATTCTTCTCCAAAATATGTGTAGCTGGTAAAATATAAGATTACTTCCTCTAAGAGAGAGTTAAGCCTTGAAATTCTTTTACTTATCTAAATTTACTCCTGATATTTTTCTCTAACTGAAATTAAACTTCTGAATAGGCTTTAGATCTTTCTTGTATTATGTACTTTTAAGAACTACAACCTGAAATAAAATATTTCCTTGTTTTCATAAATCTCTAATCCTTCACTTGTCTACATCAACTTTTTATGATGCATCAAAACTTTCTGACAACTCATCTTGAAAAAAATATTTTGAAACAGAGCAGATTGCTCAGAAAAGCTATTGAACACAAATATTTTAGAACAAAATAATTCCTTAGATTTGTTTACACAACAAAAGATGTTTTGCCTTTGTAGCACACATGGCAGGCAAAGTTGAAGCAATCTACAAACGCTGTACATTTCCTAATGTTTTAAATTTTTTAATAAATTATATCAGAAGGCATTAAGAAAACTGCATCAAACCAGGGTATACTCTGATAACTGTTCATTCTTTTTTAAAGCTTTTAGGGAAATGTTGGCCCACACCCAATCTCCATTACTCTGCTCTTCTTTTTCATCACATTCTCATATACTATAACTTACTGTTTATAATGTCTTTTGCTTGTTTGTTTCTTGTCTGTATTCCCCCATGAATGCTCCATGTGGTCAGAGATAATTTAGTTCCTGATGCATCCAAAGCTCCTAGAAGGGTGACTGGCATTTAATAAATTTTGGTTGAATACATTTTCTACATGTACTCTTGTTACTCTAGAAGTCTGGAATTTAAAATTAATCCTTGCTTTGGTTTCAAAACACAGTCACAAAAGTCTTTGTTACAGAATTAGTTATCGAGTCTCCAGGTCACTTACTAATATTTACTGAAGATTTTGGCACCTGGCTGGCAGCCTTCTCTCCACTGCAAACTCCTACTAATATTTTAGGGCCCTCCATGAAGGTAATCCAGTTAAATATCCCTCAGATCAGCCTAAGATAGCTGAAACTAAATCAGTCCATGTAGCCAAAGTCCTATATCAAGCAAAGACTCATGGATACAAGTAGCCTTTTCAATGTGAAAGTTCAATGGCTTTGATTCGGACCACTGTCAAGCTGAATGCATTAAATATTAGATATCACTACATGAAAAAAGGTTAAACTTCAGATGGATGAATCTGGCTAAAGTGGTATGGTATTGCACACATATCTTAATTTGGAACTGAACCACCATGACAAAAAAAAAAAGAATAAAATTCCATAAAGGTCAGAGCACACGCATGGTATATTCCATGGCCTACAGGCTGACATATCAATGTGTTGGTTATGTAGTAATATTTAAGTTTTATTCCACTAACCAGGTGTAAATAGTGCATGGTGCAGGTGCAAGACTAGGCTCCTTAGTACTGAGTAGACATTAAATATTTGTTGACTATGTGAACTAAATTGGGGCTGAAGAAAGTATTAACAAAAATTGTGAAAATGATATCACAATAAATCAATGTATATATTTCAGACTTTTTGACAAAGATCAACTCTCAATTATTTATTGTTCCTTATTACACTAGTACAGAGTATATAGTATTCCATGGATTACTATCTCTTGGTAGTACCTATGCAATTTCTTTGACCTTTTCTAGTTAGGGCAGCATAAAATTTTGGAAGGCATGGTCAGCATCCATAAACGTAAAGCACTCTAGCACTGTTGTGGCAATATATAGTCTCCTTTTCTTTGGGTATTTCGCCTCCTTTTAGTGTAAAAAAAAAAAAAAAAAATTAAGTCCAGCCATGTAGTATTAAATAACAGTCAAATTCATGATCTTAAAGACTAGGTAGAAATTAGTTTTTAATTACATTTCCCATATTAGAAAACTCCCTTAGGGGAAATTTTGCCAAGGTCTGGTGCCATATAAAAGATTTTTGTAAATCACCTACTTTAACTTAAGGTATAAATCTAGAGCCAGTGTAATAGCTCTTTGATCTTTAACAGTTTTTATTTTTGTGTATTTTTATTTGTAATGTCTCTGTCACACAAATAATTTTTACCTCTCAATTAATCTCAACTTTTCACTCAGTTCCAGGTATTGCCCTGGGTTTCTGGCTTCCAAGATATAATGTTAATACTCTTTTAATGCTTTGTTGCTTAGCTCTTGTTCCTTTTCTAAAATGTCACACACACACTTATTAACCATATATAAATGCATAAATGTGAATATATTATACATACTTTAAAGGCAAACTTTTTCCCCGTATTTTCTTGGCCCCTTCCCTCACCCTGCAGTAAACCTATGTTAATAACCTAATAAGGGTTCTACTCCATTTTTGTCCATATTCTCATAGTCTTACAAAATCATAAGTATCCACATACACATAAATGTAAATGTTCTAGTAGCTGCATAATATTCCACAGACAAAGTAACCCACATTGAATTTATAATCTAGGCCTGTGGGGCCTTTGTATCAAAACACCCACTCTGAAGTGGGACAACAGTTTGAAACTCTAAAGTGCCCCAAAAGTCAGTAAATGCTGAATGCCGCGGCTTCAAAAATGGATGCAGAAGACAAGACACAAACTTCAGTCATACCGTTAAAGAGGACTCAGTATTGCTCCTACCCCAGTTCTCCTAAACTGCTGACAGGTTAATAATCCGTGCTCCTCGTGCTTCTGTGTGAATGCAGTCTACAGACAAAGTTCAGGTAAATAGGGAGGAGGCTCAAGGAGAAACCACCTACCACTATTTTTGGACAAAAAAAAAAACTTTAGAACCTCCTTCATAATGAGCAAGCTGAAAAAGAAAGAAAGGAAGTGCCCAATAAAAGAAGTCTAAGTTCTCAGAAGACAAATAACAGGCTTTTTTTCTGGAAGTTTTATCCCAGAAAACAAAGACATTAAACCACAAACACTTCGTAATTCTCAAGGAAATTAAAGAGAATATGGACTCTATAAGAGATTTTGAAAAGAGATCAATGGACAACAGAATGAAATGAAAAATAATTGGTAGTCAAGGAAAAAAAAAAGAATCCTTGTTATTTCAGAAATAAAAAGTGCATTATAAATATCTAAGAGCAAAACTGACACAGGAGAAAATCAAATCTCTGACAAAAAGAAATAGCTCAAGAAAACTGAATGTGAGAGAAAAAAGACAAATAAAACTAAATATGTTTATAATATATAAACACATAAATTTATATGTATAAATGATGTATTTGGAGAGCAGACAACAAAAAAATGGAGACCCTAAACAAAATAAAATGAATAAAAGACAAACATTTTCCAAGTTAAAACGGAAGGAATATTTCCTAAAATGAAGAATTAAATCTATGAATCATAAGAGTTCAAGGTGTTTCAGGAAAATTAATGCAGACCATCAAAACAGAATTATATTGAGGAAATTACTTAACATTCAAGATATAAATTCCTGTGAGTATCCAGGCAGAAAACTCAGTTTCCCACAGGAAAAAAAAATTATGTCATCTCTTTGCTTACTTCACTCAAGGGTCATTTAAGAAGATCTATTTTTAAAAAATTGTTGTTTTTTTTCCTTCTATATCAGTCCCTCCATATCTGTGGGTTCGCTTTCTGTGGTTCCAGTTACCCACAGTCAACCATAGTCTGAAAACATCAAATGGAAAATTCCAGAAATAAACAATTCATAAGTGTTAAATTGCACGCCATTCTGCGAAGCATGATGAAATCTCACACCATCCCCATTCCATCCTGCGCAGGATGTGAATCATCACTTTGTCCAGAATATCCACGCTGTATATATTTCCCGCCTATTAGTCATTTAGTCACTTAACTGTCTTGGTTATCGGATTGACTGCTGAGGTACTGCAGTGCTTGTGTTCAAGTAACCCTTCATTTACCTATTAATGGGCTCAAAGTATAAGAGCAGTGATGCTGGCAATTAGGATATGCAAAAGAGAAGCTGTAAAGTGCTCCCTTTGAGTGAAAAGGTGAGTATGTATGTATGTATGTATGTATGTATGTATGTATGTATGTATGTATATATAGGAAAATACGTAGGGTTTGGTACTGTCTGAGGTTTCAGGGATCCACTGGGGGTCTTGAAATGTATCCCTTGAGGATGAGGGGGGACTTTATTATTAATTTTGACTTTCCTATATTTTACTTAAGACATTGTGATTTGTACAGGTTTGTTTGGTTTAACTTATGTTTTTATCAGTGATTTATACTGTAAGACTTATACTTTCTTAACTCTTCTTTGGTTACTTGAAAAGAAGTTGGTTATGTCCTCTGTAGAATACAAAAGTTTATGTACATTACCATTTCATCCTGTGAATTACGTTGAATAGTCAGATCTCCATGTCTTTATTTTTGCCAATTTGATCTGTCTGAGAGAGATATATTAGTCTCTCACTATGCTTGCGTTTCAATTTCATCTACCTCTAGCAATTTTTACAGGAGTACTTTGAAGCTATGTTATTTGCATATATAGTTTCAAGATCATTACATCTTCTTCATGAGTTGCAACCTTAGCCAATTAAAAAAAAACTTCGAAATGTTTGAATTTTTTTTGCCTTTAATTTCATTTTGATACTAAAATGTGACTCTCACTTAGTTTGCTATATCTTTGCTATCCCTCTATTTTTAACTTTTCTGTGTCATTTTGCTTTGAGTACCCCTTTTATATAGAGTACCTCTTTTAAAAAGTTTGATTCTTTATACTAACCTTGAGGATAGCTACGTCTTAAGGAAAATTTATTCCACTTAAATTTATATAAAAACAAATATACTTCATCTCAACTTGTCATCTTATTTTCTGACTTTGTCATTGTGATTTCCCTTTTCCTTAAAATGTTTCTTTTTATTTTTTCTCTAGTAGATTGGTAGACATATATAGCATCTTAAATTTAGAATGGATTACTTTCCACTTTTCAAACACATTTTAAATTTGCTTATATTAATTACATGCAATGAAACATACCTACTGAAAACCTTGTGTGTCAGATGAGGAAATTAGCACACATTTACTTACTCTCGTACCTTTCTTTTCTAATTCTACTTTTTTTGGTTGGCTTAATCTGAGATTTTTGACCCACGTTGTTATTTGTAAAACTACCCATTTTTACTTGATGTAGTTCCCTTTTCAAAAATTATTTTGACTTTACATTTTGTGGTGATGCTATACCAGAAACAATGACTTAAACTTAATTCTATGTTTATTGTTTTATGCTCACGAAGAGTCCTTATATACTACAATTTCTCTATAATCGAATTTATTTTGGTTCATTTCTCAGCTGCTTGGAATACTTCTTAAGTCATTTTTTTCAAAAAATGTATGTCAGCAATATGCTTCGTAAATAAATCTGAGAATATCTTCATGTTTCTTTCATAAAAGAATGACCGTTGACCGAATATAGAATTTAAGTCACAATCTTCTTTTTCTCACAACGCTAAAGCCAAATTGTGTCATCTTTTTCTGATGGATAAGGCTGAGAAGTTGTCTGACACATGACTGATTTTTTTTCCTTCAGAGATTTTTTTTTCTATTTAAAAGCTTAAAATATAGTTTTGTGGGTTTTGCTTTTTGAAATTCAAATATTTCACCAGAATATGTCTAGATGCTGATGTTTGTTCACTAATTCCAGCAAGGACAGAGTAAATGTGGTCTTTTAAACTTGAATTTCCTTACAGTATAGGGAATATAGTCAATAATATTGTAATAACTATGATAACTATGTATAGTGCCAGGTGGGTACTAGACTAGTCAAGGGGATCACTTCGTAAATAATATAAATGTCTAACCACTATGCTGCATACGTGAAATTGCTATAATATTGAATGTGAAAAAAAAAATCTTGACCTTCCTATATTTATTAATATACCCCTTGTTGTTTTCTTTACTGTTTGTTTTTTTCTGTTTTCTTCCTAAGGGACAGCAACTATCTACTTAGCTGGATCACTATTTTCTATCTTCTACATCTATCATCTTATTGCTGACCATCTTCCAATCATTTTCTTCTCCTCTGCTTTATAGGATTGTTTGTCAAGTGACTCTCCAGATTATCAATTATATATTTAGCAGATTTAATTTGGTTCTTCTAATGAAGTTTTCAATTTGTTAGTTTCTTGGAAGGATTGTTAGTTTCTTGGAAGGATTTTCTTGATTCTAACCAACTCTGTTATAGCTTAGTCTGTGATCACATTTCATCTTTCAGCTCTTTCAGAGTTGTTTAATCTTTTACTGAGTGCAAATATTTTTTCTATAAAAATATTTTAAGATGTATGCATGCTTTCTCCCAACATTTTGTTATTATTTGCTTACATTGCCCAGTATTTTCTAAGTTCCATGTTTGTTCCTTTTCTCCTTCTCATGTTGATCAGAAGAAGTGTACTTTGGCCTGCTACCGGCCCCAAATTAATATGAGCATATTCTCCTCCAATCCTTTCACTGCCTACCTATGTACTGTTAGAAGTCTCCTCTTAGATGGAAAGCTGGAGATTTGACAAATTTATCTTTATATTACCAGTTCAGCAATCCAGTACACTGGGAGAAATAAGAGAAGCGTGTGTTACAGGTTGTGCCCATTGAGAATATTTGTCTCTGTATTTCTTTCACTGTGTTTGGCAAAACGTTTATGCAAAGGACCATTTTTTCTACATGTAATTTACTCTTTGGCCTGCCCTCCTTTGCAAGCATATGATGGGACTACATTTGGAGTCTATCTGGTTGCTAGCTACTGTCTGGCCTAACAAGGACAGGTCCAAATTCTTACCTATGTTGTGTAATGGTAATTGCCTTTAGACCTCTCCAGTCAATTGCATCTGAATATAGTTGTTCCAAATGGTGAAAAGATTTCCAGATGGAAAGTTTCCCACCTGTCCCAAGGACTAACCTAGCCTCTAAGCTCTCAACTCTCCAACTTCAAAAGTATTACTTGAGTTCTGTCTGGACTACCCTAACTTACAACTATAGCACTTTCTCATGAATCACCTCCTAATTTACCTTATCTGGAAGGAATTCTCAATGTTTAAATTTTCTTATACATTCCTTTGGTTATTTTAATTGAGATTTGGGAGAGTAGGGAAGAAAGAGATGTCTTTTCATCTTGCCATTGTACCTTAAAGTCTAAATTCCCCTCCTCTTTAATCTTTAGTTATCATGGTTTGAAGAAATTTTTAATAGAGCTTTTGAAAACAACTACTATTAAATAAAAGTGAAGGTAAATAACATTAGAGAATATATTTTATACACTGTAATTTATAATAATAAATATGTATTTGTCTTCACCCCTGTTCCTGACAAGATCTCCAATGGAAGCATGCAAACCTATGTGGCCTCTGGGACACAATTACATAATATAATGATGTACTAGATAATTATTAATGACTAAATGAGATTCCAGTAATGTGTCATTACCTTTTGACTTTTATGATCATCTTGCTGTAAAGAATCTGTGATATTGTGATTTGTAATAAGAAATATACATTTGGTCTTTGTCCCTTTCCTGGCACAAACTCCTGAAACCCTTGGAATTTCCTGAGTGATTAGAGTGACAAAGGTGTCTTTTGTTATTTATAATAGGCCCCTTTCAACCATATCTGAGTTTATGTTAATGAGATGACTTTAGGGGTTTTCCAAAAGCATGTAATGATAATATGTGCAACATTCCAAGGACTTACATTTTCTGTATGTATGTAAATAGCAAGTAATTATTGCATTGATTTTTCTTTACTATAAAAATAAATAATATATTAATCAACCAAGTAAAACACCAATCTGGTACATATATCCTTCTATGATTTATAAATAGAATCTCTTCTTTTATTGATTTAAATTTTTAAAAAGATCTGTGCTGAAAAGTGAGAAAGTACCCATACAACGAATATCATATAAGTACCTAGCTTTTGGATAAAATTCTAGGTTTGTTTTTAAAGACACCAAACATACTGAAGTCTAGTAAAAAAAAAAAAAATCCCTGAATAATTTATTTGTTAGTGTTGATGTTTTCCTAGCCTTACATTTTTCATTTGTATCGTGCTAGATGAATCTTGCCAAATAGCATATTCAGATCTATACTTCAGTCTCCTATGTGCATGCTTACCTGCCATTTATTATCGGAACACAGTTTGGCATTATCTTTTAAAACACACAAAGACATGCACATGCAGATGAAGCTCTTTACAAAACTGAAGTGTATATTAACAATAATCACAAAGAATTTCTGAAACTTGCATGTCAAAAAAGTATCATCTTCACTTCCCTGGACCTTTCAAATGGGAACACAGAAGGGTTCTGGCTTTCCACTATAACCTGACTTTCACCTTCAAAATGAGCTTAAAAAAAAAAAAGATGAGGAAAAGGGATATCCAAAGGCATTTCTCATCAATTGCTACATGGTCCAATATATTTGTAACTCTATCTCCTTTTCCTTTACACCAGTGAGTGATGAAAACCTGATGGGACAAGCAAGCAACACACTAACATCAAGTCACTTGGGGGTATTCACAGAAATAGACAAAAACAGGCGCAAGCAGGCACAAAAAGATTAACGCTAGGAACTGCATAAGCAGCAAGTGAGAACATTTCCATCATGAAAGGAAGAGGTTAAAACATTTAAGAAAATTTCTGAATAAAATTACTACGCCTAAGGTAGTGAAACGATTAATTTTTCAATTTTCTTGAGAAACAAGAGTCAATCTGTGACCCTACTCCCCAGGTATTACATCCAGACCTCAAGAACACAGTCATTTAGAAAGCAAGTGCCTCAAGGAGTCCAGCTAAAACTACAAAGATGTGAGATTCCAGTCAGACGCAGGAAATCCTTTGGGGAATAAAAGTATTTTATGACTCATAAGATTAAAATCTCCTGAATACTCAACTAAAGTAATCTAATGAAATATTGTCACCAGGAAAGGGGTTTGATGAATTTATGTGTTGTGTAGGAAAATTTTTAAGCAAAACAGGAAATTGAACAAACTTGAACCAAATTCATTTATAATTTTTCCTTTCAGGGTAAAATTAACTTCAAGGACACCAAAATTCCTTATACAATGTGACATTTTGTAGAATGCCACATTTTTAACTACTGGAATTTTAAGCAAAATTTCATGCCCAGGATGCAAACCTGGGTCATTCTGAAGGTTCTTAGTCTTTAATTTTAATACACTTTGAAAGAAGTTATAAGAGATAAAGGTGAAGGCTTGGGCCAGATGCCAACACTAAGGGAAAGACGGAGGTCAAGATTTTCCTGGGGAGATATCGACAACAATAAAAACTCAGAGACAACATTATTTTCTTGACTTTAGGTGATGCTTAAGCATAAAAGATAGCCAACATTAAAGAGGCTATCCTTACCTTGAAACATTTTCTATTTTTTTCTAACTTAATTCTAATTCAAAATTTTGCCTGTTCTCTATGAAATTCTCTTCTGTTAACAGGTTGTAAAAACAAAGCAAGCAATGAAAGCCCTCTGTTTAATCTTTCCCAAGGACAAACACAGTGTAATGTATAATATGTAAATATGAGTTAGACTACAAATTACTTTTATTTAATTTAGTCTAGTGCTTAGCTTCGCCTCTGAAATATCAGTCTGCATCCTTCTATTTTGGTTTGATTCTATAGTACACTTAAAACAGTAAATGTTTACATTAAAAGGACAAGAGAATGTGTGATGTATTTTAACTGTCAAAAGTGTTGTGAACAGCAGCAGCTGGAAGAAGAATGTGTATTCCACTTCACTGTTATCCTGGAGCCTTTTAGATTCTTCAAATCAGCGTGCTTCGGTGCTCATATTTTTTTTTTAAATTTGACTGCCATGTCGAAGAAATGTAGTAAAATTTCTAGAGTTCACTTGTGCCCTTTACACTGGGTTCTTCACTAACTCTGCTGGTGCAGGGATTGAACTGGTCACTGGACATGGAGATTTTCTTTCGTTTTTTAGGTTGCTGATACAGATGAAGACAAAAGCCAGGAGGCAGGAGGAAACGAGAGGAGTTCCACCCTGGGTGTTACTTAGAGGTCTCTATGAACTGTGCTTAGTCCACTTCCTTTGCAATCATCCTTCACATCATCCTGAATTCATTAAGATACGGCTCCTGTCAAAGGCCTGCTCAGAAGACCAAAAACTGAAAATAAGTTGATTCCGGATCTGGTGAAATTCCACCAATAATGTTTCCAGATCTGGTGAAATTCCACCAATAAAACTGAAGAGAGAAATGCAGAACACTCTTACTCTGCCTGCAGTGATTTCAGGACAAGTGGGAACACAGCTGGGAAAAGTGGCGCCTAAGGCTATGTTGGGGGATGAGGACAACCAATACACGCATAATCAGACTTCGGGTTTGACACATTCAAGAAATATTTGAAGGTGTACAAAAGGCTACATGATCCAACTCCTACCTACCTCTCAAAACACATCTTGAACCATTCTCCCAATTGTGCTTCGACCACACTGGTCTTCTTCCAGTTCCTCCAGGATGTCAAATTAATTGCTGTCTCAGGGTCCATTGTATTTTCTTTCTCCTCTGCTTAGAACATTCCCCAAACTCTTTTTTTGGATTCTCATACTTCAGACCTTAGCTCAAAGATCACCTCCTCACTGAGGCTTTCTCCAAAATCCCTATCTAAATTAGTGCCTACCCCAAACCCCTCCTCCACCACCATTCCCTATCATCTGATCCTTTCTATTTCCTTTACACCTCTTATCAGATGTTATCATGTTTATTTGTTTACTTGTTTAGTGCCAGATACATATAAACACTAGGATGTAAACTTCTTAAGAGCAGATCTGCCTGTCTACTTCTGTCACTACTGTTCCTAAAGCAGTAAATATTTAGTGAATAAATGTGTTTAACACTCTACTAGAGGCTGAGGATAAAACTACATGAAATGATACAGACTCAACCTTACAAACCTTATAAAGAGAATAGAGACTGACAAGTAATCATTATATAGTAAGATAATTGTTTTACAGGGGGTACATAAGTCTAGTAGAAAGAGCTTCCATATGTCTATCTTAACAGAAAACAAAATCTCTTCCAAGGAATGGGGCCATGTGTACAAAGGCACAGAAATAGCCATTAACAGCACAATTCTGTTCTGGGGGAATTCATTAAGGTTTAATAAAATATAAATTGCTGTGGGTTAGGGTGAGGAGAGAGGAATTAACCTTGGACAGAGAGGGATCCAGGTCATCGAAGTTCTTCCTCGCCATGCAAAGGGAGAAAGATTTCATCCTATGACCAATAGGAAAAATTCTTGGCAGAGGGGTGATATGGTCAGATTTGCATTTTAGAAAAACAATTCTGATAACTGATTTAGGTGATTTAGAAATCATATTATGGGCAGGTAGCAGAGGGACAGCAATAGAGTTTCACAATAAACAGGTACCATAGAGAGGAAGAGGGACTCAATGGTAGGAAACGCTCAAATTTTGCTGAACATCCATCTTGTCTCTGGATAGTTTTGTTAGATCATATGCTATGGCATTCACCCACGGAGCAGCCTTGACAGGAAGTTCTAGATACTAGTGTCTATTTTAAGAAATTTTATCTACGGGGACTAAGTCGTTCACTGGATAGGAAGTTTTTCCTTCTCTTTTGGGTATTTAACAAACTCAGACATTCTCTCTCCCAAATACAGGCAGGATTTAGAGGCAGAATGCTGCCACTAAGCAAGGAATTCTGTTTCTTGGGTATATGGACATTTCTCTTCATCTGGGCCCAAATTCTCTACCTCCAGTACTAGTAGAAATAGTGTGATCTAAAATGTATTAAGGTGAACGGTAAGACATCATGTATGCAGGGCCAAAAAGTAGGAGCAAGAGGATTGGAAGTCCTACCAGGCCAAGCACAGGAAAATTAGTGAAGTGTAGGGTATGGCTGTAGCTTCAGGCACTGAGTTGGCAAAAAAATCTAACAGGTTAAAAACACCAGGCACCTGTCACTGAATTTCCTGGATTGCTAAACAGACTGGAGATGAAATGAGATAATAATATAATCTCCAACTTGGTGGAGAGCCCTATGGATTCATGACCTGCCAGTTGTAATCTTCCATACTCACAGTTTTCTCAACCAGAGTTCCCAGAGAGAATTAAGCTTGAAAGCTCTGATGCAGGGCCTAACATAAGGCATCCGTTAGAAGCACCTAGAATGGTACTCGCTATGTATCATCATTAGGGAACCTGAGAAAATAGTTACCCAAATCATTTTCCGTGGTCTATGGTTCAGATGAGGAACCCAGCGTACGAAAGACAACAGGAGTTGCTATGCTGTCTCTGGCCTCAAGACATTCACTTACTCTCATTCCATTGCTTAGGACTATTCTCATTCAGGCTACCCACTCCCTTGCCTAGCTAACTCCTACTCATTCTCAATTGAGACTTAAAGTCAAAGGCCTTGCTTGATCTCTTATATTATGTGAGTATGCCTTGAACTTGGGCAGCAAGGGGCCCAGATCACGAAAGCCCTTCCATGCCATGCAGAGGGAGAGAGATTTCATCCTGTACCAATCAGAAGCCATTGAAAAACTCTAGGCAGAGGGGTGATGTGATCAGATTTGCTTATACCTTATCTTTGTAATCTTATTTTAAAAACTCGTTCATTCAGGGCATGACCTGAGTCTATGCTGTACCACATATACTTAGTGCCCAGCCCATAAGAACATGAGTTTAACTGGTGTTTACAAGAGGGAGGGAGGGAGGGAGGGAAGGAAGGAAGGAAGGAAGGAAGCAAGGAAGGAAGGAAGGAAGGAAGGAAGGAAGGAAGGAAGGACCTGATATTTGAAAAAAATGTACCTTGATTAGAAGGTAGGAAAGAGGGCATTTTAGCAATTTTAAGGGATATTGTTAATACATACATGGGAAACTGTCAAGTACTACTTACCAAAAACAGAGCACTGAATACCTCACAAGGAGTAGGGAAAAAAAATTAATATTATTAAGGGATACCAGAATCTATGCAATGAGACAGAGCTAGCTGTACTTTTAATATGCTGTTTTGTGAGAAGGCACAGCCATTGAAACATCATTTTCAATCCTAACTATTAAGCCTATCCAGTTAATTACAATGGTCTTGAACTACTAAGAAATCTTTGAACATGGCATGTAATTTCAAAGCCCACAATAGGCAAAATGAAGGACAGAGGTGAAGGCAAAAGAAAGTAACCACTTATTCTTCTACTGGGACTTCGAGATGGGACTATACTAACATGTTGTAGGTCCTAGGGTGGCTGTTCTTGAACATTTTCAATGAGTGCAAACTTGTCAATATTTTTTTCAGTAGCTTTAGTGGTTTGTCATAAGCCTGCTGCCTAATATGCCTCTTGTTTAAAGAAAATCTGCCAAGTTACTTACTAGGAATAACTGAAATGGGCTTAACCATGCAAAATAATAATAAAAACTGTGATATTAAGAATAAAATAAAATTAAATAAAAAGGATTTGGAATCAAGTGAAAATGTGAATAGAGTAATGGTATCATGAGCACAGCTCTGAATTCCTGACTAGGTTCTCCCACGTGAGACCCTGGGTAATCCATGTGCTGCCTCTCTAAGCTGGTATCATTTGTGAAATGAGAGTAGACTACATCCTCTTTAATGTTCTTTTCTCAAGTGCTAGCATTCTGTTCCTATAAAATCAAATCATGAAAAATCACATCATCTGTTTTATATACACATATGTACATAAATTATTACATATTACATGTATTATGTATTTAGTAAACACTAAATATAAATCTATAAACATAAAATATACAAATATATTACAAATAATCTAGTTCACAATAACTGCATCAATAAATTATGGAGTAGCAATACAATAATGATTCTTTCTTCTCTTTCATCAATAACATACTTTTTGTCTTTCTAAAAAAGGCACCTATGATTGAATATCTGAAAACTAAAAATGCCTTTATAAAGGGAATTTTGTGAGAATTTAAGCATTTGCCCACCTAATAGTCAAAAAGATATGGTGATCATTACAAATTTTTCAAAGGTAAAAGAGTACAAAGTTTGCATTCATTTGTACATGTGGGGTTTAAGAAGGAGCTCTGAGTATAATTGGTAGCATATGTACAAAGGTTGTACCAGAGACCATAGAAAGGACATTATATTCAACCACAGAATAAACAGATACATATAACTTATATAAAAAGAAATAACACAAGTTAACTTTCCCATAGAAATCTCATGTTCCCATTCCTCCAAGCTTCTGAGAGAGAAAAATGTCACTAATCAAAAAGAATTAAAGTTTCCATGACATATTCAGAGCTAGGAACACCCACCCTTTTGTTCACGTGATACACCTTTTAGTTGTATAACTGTCATTATTATGAAAGTAGGAAAAACAAACTTAATGAAGTATACACTATCTGAAAACAGTACTCTATTTTGCTGAGCTTTATTTGAAAAATACACTTAATTGATAACTTACAAGATGAGTATCCAACAGATTCTCAAGTTGAAACAAAATAAGGACAATATTGTATATCAAATATGCTACTTCCTAAGAGGGAAGGGAGGTCTACTTGTTTAGTTCTGATAAACAAGACCCGAATGCCAAAGTGTAAAAAGGTCTCCAGCAAGTTTCCCCTGGGGGAAAGGTTAATGGGAAGAAGCCAGACAGAACAGCAAATATAATTCATACGCTCATTCATTTCACATCATTCTCTTTATCTCTGCTTAGCTTGTCTATTAAAAAGATGAGCTAAACTCATCTGCTAAGAACACAAATAGTAATAGCCAGAAAATAACAACAGGTATTATGCTAAGGCCTTTAAGTCATTTACTCCTGTCAACAATCCCATGAAGTTGGCA